GCGCCACCGGCGACGCGGTGGCTCGGCCTCTGCCCCGCGGGGCTTCACCGCGCCAAAGCACTCACCTCGGCTGGGCTGCGCTCCCCGCGGGCCTGCGCCGAGCCCGATAAATGGTATGCTATGACTAGAGGTATGATTACGTTATTATTATTAGTAATAATAAGAGTAAATGCTATTTAATTACGGGCGGCCGCATCCTGCTCCCGGCGCCGCCGCCCGGGCAGCTCGGTCCATGTGGCTCCGGAGCGCTTTACTTTCATTTCCAGCCCCCTTGGCCGGCCGCTCGCGGCAGCACCCGCTGGAGGCTCCGTCTCCCTGCAGCTCTCCCTCCTCGGGTCCTAGAGAGCGCAGCTCCTCCTCGCCTAGTCGCGCCCGGGGTGGGCGGCGCGGACTGCGCACCTTGGGGGGAAGGGGTGGGGAGTCGGGAAGCCCCCCTTCCCAGTGGACGGTTCATGCCTGGAATTCACCTTGATTTTCTTTTAAAAGTGCCCTTTCTTGTTCGGGCTTTTCTTCTGACAGTTCTGCATTTCTGGGAGGATGCTGGGCCAACCCAGAGCCTCTGTTCGCCACAGCCCTCCCACCCCCAATCCGAGCGAAAAGCCAAACTAGGCTTTCCAGGTGCTTCTCCAAGCCCCTGGTGGCTTTGTGCCCTTTTCGTTGATAATCAGGACTCAGTCGGTCTCATTTGGCTGAGGTTTCATGTATGGAAAGTTAAAGAAAAAAAAAAATTAAGAACACTTGTTTAAGAAAGCCAGACTGATTTTATTCAAGGAAGGGCCATCATGGTGGGTTTAGGGACCACTGCAATGGCTGCAGAGACGTAGGGCTCATCTCTGAATTCAGCAAGAACAATTAGAAATTCCTAAGAGGAAGGCAGGGTCAGCAGACAGAAAACTAAGAAGGGTAAGAAGTGATTTCGGCTAGCCCTATCTAACAGGATTCCTTTTAAATATTTTTAAATTCAGGTTTTGGATTTTTTGTTTGTTTTAAAATGCTTTTAATTTTGTGTGTATGCGTGTTTTGGCTGCAGGCATGTGTTTGTACCATGCGTGTCCCTGGTGCTTGGCAGAGGCCAGAAGAGGGCGTTGGATCTCCTGAAACTGGAGTTAGAGAGGTTGTGAGCCAGTGTGTAGGTGCCAGGAATATAAGATGGGCCCTCTGGAAGAGCAGCCAGTGCTTGCAACTGCTGAGCTGAGCTGTCTTTTCTTGGAGATAGGTCAGGTCCCGGAACATCACCTTGAGGACCAGTAGAGGATAGGGATGAGTATTCACGGTATTCAGAGATGGGAGGATTCTAGTCAAGCCCCTATTCTAGTTTAGCAGGTTTCTTGCTAAAATTTGGACAACTGGGCCAGGCAAGGTAGTACAGGCCTTTAATCCCAGCACCGAGGAAGCAAAGGCAGGCCAGATCTCTGTGAGTTTGAGGCCAGTCTGGTCTAAATAACAAATTCCAGGATAGTCAGGACTACATAGAGAGATGCTATCTCAAAAAATAGTGATAATAATTTCTTTTGAAAAAAATCTAAAAAGTAAAACAAAATTCAGACAATTCAGAGATAAATACAGAAGCCCAAAAGTCCAGACCCAGTTGGAAAGTTCAGGGGAGCCTAAGTAGAATTCTATCATAAAACGTCTCTTTGTTGGGTGGGGGTCTCTCTAGAAGCAGCTTAAGGTGGCTCAGAGGACCGAGGTAAAAGAGAGGTTAACCAAATAGATCTTCTGTAAGTATCCAAGGTCCTGCCTTAGAACTGGTAACAGGCAGGCTGGATTTGAATCCAGATCTTTGGATTCCAAACCATGTTTCTCCTACTTTGTAAGTAGCTGCCTTCTTGATTGCTGAAGGACCCACCCTGTCAGTTGCCTCCCCCTTTCCTCCTCTGCGTTTATGCACATGCGTGTGTATGTATATTTAATTTATTGCAGATCAGCTGTGAGCCTGGCAGACTTCATCTTTACAAATGTTATCTCTTCCACAAACACTTGTGCCAGACATACCCTTGGGAACTACAGCTTTTTTTTTTTTTTGAGGGAGACGAATTTTAAACATTGAAATACACTATGGCAGGTGCCCAAGAGGGACAAGAATCTAGGGCTGTGTTTTCTTATTCAGTTCATAAAAGAATCCTGGAACGTGGGTTTTAGCATGCCCATCTCAAGGATGAATAGCTAAAGCTCAGAAGTTAAGCTGCCTAAGGGGGCAGCTCTTATTCCAGACTTTGCACATCAGGCATGACCTCTGGAGGTTTCTAATAACTGTCTCTTCAGGGCAAATTGGAAAGGCAAACAAATGCTCATACGCTTTCATTTTCTTTTCTTTCTTTCTTTCTTTCTTTCTTTCTTTCTTTCTTTCTTTCTTTCTTTCTTTCTTTTTTTATGAGACAGGGTTTCTCTGTGTAGCTTTTGGAGCCTGTCCTGGAACTTGCTTTGTATACCAGGCTAACCTCGAACTCAGAGATCCACCTGCCTCTGCTTCCCAAGTGCTGGGTTTGAAGGCACGCATGCACTGCCCGTCTCTTTTCCTTTCTTTATGAGATAAGGTTTCCTCTATGTAACTCTGGCTGTCTTGGGATTCGCTGTATAGACCAGGCTGGCTTCCAGTTGACAGAGATCTTCCAGCGTCTGTCTCCCGAGTGCTAGGACTAAAGGCGTGTCACCATGCCCTGCCTGCTCCTGAATTTTAGAAGTTCTTCAGCTCTTAGATCAGCTGTTACAGGGAAGTGGCTGCCTTCTCCCTCCTCACCACCTTGAGATTAGCAAGCAAAAAAACAAACAAAAAAACAGACTCTGGTATGATGAGGAGAGACAATCTCAGAAGCAAAGGCATAGTCTAATGGCTCTCAGGTGTTACTAATGTGAAAACAGGTCTTGGGTCACTTGGGATAGACTCAAGATTATGGGCTCAAAGTAGAAACAACCTAAGTGTGTGTGTGTGGGGGGGGGGTAGGGGATTCTGGGCAATGTGATGAGAATCACCTGGCTAACTTTAGGAAGCCTAAGATTTCCTTCTCTGCCGTTTGTTGACTATCTGACCCCAGCAATCTTGCGGTGTCAGTTACCTCGTATCTAAAACCAAGATTTTAAAAACTGAACCAGCGAGGCAGTGTGGCATACATTTGTCATGGAGGCAGGAAGCAAGAGAATCAGCATGTAGGGCCGGCCTCGGCTAGCCCAAATTCTAACCGGCAATAAAGACTGAACAATGTCGTTTTCCAAGCCTCCCGTGCGATGTACACTGGCGGATTCCTGACAGCTTACCGCATCAGGCACCGTTGTTAATAGCGCTCTCATTTCAGGGACAAGGATGCTGAAGCCAGTTGGATTACTACATCCTGCCTCAGATGAATTAGCTGACTAGAGGCCTGAAGATTCTGCCATCCCAAGCTGCTGGTGAAATACCAGATAGCCTTTAAGGAGACATGTCTGTCAATTAAGGGAGATCTGCTTGGATGCTAGCTTCTCAAGTTTTCAATAGAACATCAGTTTGAGTTTGGTTTTTTTTTTTGTTTGTGTGTTTGTTTGTTTCTTCGAGACAGGATTTCTCTGTCGCTGGCACTTGCTCTGTAGACCAGGCTGGCCTCGAACGCACAGAGATCCAGTTTGAGTTTGTTAAACTGGACTGCTAGAGACACCCCAACCGGTGGTGGGGTGCTTTGAAGACACGTGCCAAGAATCTCGCACCAATAGATTGTCCAGTTGTTCAGCTCTGAGCCTATATGTTCTCATTTCAAAGCTGAAGTAGCATTGATAGCCTCTGCCTATTTATCCTGAGCAAAGGTATACATTTCGGAGTCTCTTACCATATTAAAAGTCCTATAAGGTAGGGCTTGTTTTTACTCACTTTCAGACTAGGAGTAGACATAACCAGTTAATGACTAGATCAAGGTCTCACGCGTCTAAGGAAGAGGCAGGACTTGATCCCGTCTCAGACTGATTACCTGTCCTGTAAGTCCCAACCACTGACTGTACCGTGATGGGACATCTTAATTCTGGATCTGTCACTTGTTACTCTCAAGGACTTGAGTGAGCCTCTGGAGATGGGACTCCAAGGCTCATGCTCTCGGCCGTGAGGAATTGACAACTATACCACTCATGAATTCTTTTCACCTCTGCACCAGGCTTAGACCCTGTTACTTCCTAGCGGAGTGTGAGCTCATGACCACCTTTGTCGAAGTCATGTTCAGGTTTGTTCATTCATTCAACAAGCCATCTTGGCCAGGTCCCAGGTCTTAGACCTCCCACCAAAGACCTTGACTTTGTGCCACTTAGAGAAGGATCCAGGATGTATTCACAAATTTAACCTTCAGTTCCTTCTTCCTCATCTGTAAATTGGGCGAGTGATGGGCCGAATGTGTCCATGTATTGAAATCTCAGTGTAATGGTGGTGTGAGGTGAGACCTTGACCATAACCAGGCCATGTGGGTGGAGTCCTCGTGAGCCCTTACAAGAAAAGACACCAGAGAAGATTGCAGGTGGGGGTGCATCGGGGAGTGGTCATCTGACAGCCAGGAAGAGGGTTATCTGTCTGGACACCAAAAGCCTGACTCTGTGGCACCTGATCCCATACCTTGAACATTCCGGAGCTGAATAAATGCTTTATGTCACTAACTTCCCCCTACCTATGGTACTTGTTAATACAGCCTGAGTTAACATGGGTAGGGGGCGGGGAGCATGAGAAATTCATTGCTAGATGATTTTTACCATCGTGCAAACATTACGGAGTGTACTTAAACAAACCTAGATGACAGAGCCTACAGCATACCGAGGCGACATGTTATATGTTGTCATGTGTGTTGCTCATTGTTATTGTAAACCTCGCTGTGACTGTTCTTATCCTATAAGGCTCTATGATGCTTAATTTTTTTTTTTTTGAGACAGAGTCACACATGGCCTTGGCTAGCCTTGAACTCATAGAGACCTAAGTGCTACGATTAAAGGCATGTACCACCACACCCAGCTTGACGATTACTTTTATATATTTTTATATTTTTATTGTGGTTTGGGGGATTAAAAACAGAACGAAGCAGGGCCTTATGCGTGCTAGTCTTACCCTGTTACGCAACTCAACTCTCAGTCCCTGTGACGGCGAGGTTTCTGTGTGACATGGGTGGCCTGCAGAATGCCTAGACAGCTGGCAAGCAAATGATACCAAGCATTATTTTTTTAAAGTATTTTAATTTTTTTATATATTTATTTATTTATTATGTATGCAATATTCTGTCTATGTGTATGCCTGCAGGCTAGAAGAGGGCACCAGATCCCATTACAGATGGTTGTGAGCCACCATGTGGTTGCTGGGAATTGAACTCAGGACCTTTGGAAGAGCAGGCAATGCTCTTAACCTCTGAGCCATCTCTCCAGCCCGCCAAACATTATTCTGGGCATTTCTGTGAGGATGTGTTCTAGATGAGGTTAGCTTTTCAGTTGACAACCTGAGGAAAGCACATTGCCCTGTGGAAGGAGGATGGGCCTCAGCCAATCAGTGGGAGGTCTAAACCGTACATAAAGGCTCCTCTCTGTCTCCAAGCTGGGACACTGGATTTTGTCTTCTGCCTTTGTCCAGTCGAAACATGACCTCTCCCCTGAACCTCCTCACCGCACTGGAAGGATGCCGTCCACTTTCTTGAGTCTCCAAGCTGCTAAATGCAAATCTTAGTGCTTGCCACAGGGTTGGACACAGAGCTTAGTTTAGAATATTTGCAAGGTCCTGGACTTGATCCCATCAGAACACGGAGGGTACGGTGGGGATTGTCAGTCTCTATACTCATGTGAACCAGTTCGTTGCAAGGGAATCCATCCATCCATCCTTGCAATTAGTTCTGTTTCCCCTGAGAACCCTGATGCACGGTCACTGCAAGGATAAGTAAAGCAAAGAAAGCGTTGATGTCTGTGTAATTGCTAATTTACAAAATTAAAAAAAAAATGGAGCCAGGCATAGTGGTACATGTCTTTAGTCCTAGCACTAGGGAGGCAGAGGCAGATCACTGAGTTCCAGGCCAGCCAGAGTTACAGGGTGAGTGTAGTGCTTTGAACAAGATGTCCCTCATAGTCTCGGGCATTTGACAACTTGATTTCCTGTTGGTGGTGGGGCTGTACTATGTGAGAAGACTTAGGAGGTGTGGCTTTGCTGCAGGAAGTGTGTCTCTGGGGTGGGCTATGAGAGTTTAAAGTCTCCTGTGACTTATAGTTTGCTCTCCTTGTTTCATGCTTGTGGCTCAAGATGTGAGCTGCCAACCGTCAGTCAGTTCAGGTTGCCATTACCTTCGCTTGCTGACATGCTTCCCTGCCATGACAGACTCATGTCCTTCCTTCTCAAACTGTAAGTTGAAGAAGTCCAAATAGACTCTTTTTCTTGGTGCTTTATCACAATAAAAGTGATGAGTACAGAAGCTGGTACCAGAAAGTCGGCTATTGCTTTGAAGAACCTGGCCGTGCTGCTTCTGAGAGGAATGGGGAAGACTTTGGATCTGGACTAGGAGCATGGCTAATTGGTATGCTGTGGAAGGGGCCTGTGTTGAGAGCAGTGTGGACGGTGGAGGGCGAGCTCAAGAGGTTTCAGAAGAGAAAAATCCTAGCAACAGGGCTAGAGGTCATTCCTTTGTTATTCTGGCTGCTCTCTGCCCTTGACCTAAGAATTTGCTTAAAAAGTAATGGACTAATTCTTTGGGCAGAGACAGTTTCAGGACGACAATATTTAATCCGCAGCAGTTTATGTTTTGTTGAGACAGGGTCTCATTGTGTGGCGCTTGCTGGCCTGGAACTTGCTAGGTAGTGGAGGCTCTTCTTAAACTCAAAGAGATCCTTCTGCCTCTGCCTCCTGGGCACCAGGATCAAAGGTAAACATGAACACCATGCCTGACATATGGTTCTTATTAATGACTTGTTCTACAGGTCTGCAGTGAAAAAGAACAAGCTGGGAAGAAAAAAATACAAACTACAAATAAAAGAAAAAGAGCCCCACTAAATATGTCTCAGCCAAGGCTGGTGCTGAAAGAGATGGAACCGACCTGGCAAAGGAGAGGCCTACTGATCTGAAGCGGAGTAGAGGGAAGAGTGTCCTCAGAGTCCTCCCTCAGCAGGCTAAACTTCCAATCTGTAAAAAGAAAAGCCGGAAGGGGGTTTTCCTCTCCTAGAAAGCAATTGGAAACAAAAGCTGCTGCTAATGACACTCAAGGGGGTCCCTCCTAAACCGTCCACAGGGTGCTGGGTTTAGAGGTGGGAAGGAAACAAGAGTAAAGGTGTTGCAGACCTTCCTCTGGTTTGAGAGAGCCCTTGAGGTGAGGCACAGGGGACAGAGGAGTCTCTGCAAGAAGGCCCTGAGAAGGCAGGAGTCCTGAAAGGCCATTGAAAGGCCATTGAATGAAGCCGTGAAAGTAAAGCCTGGGTTGCATTGGAGACTAGGAGATGTTGCTGATACTAGAGCCATGGGATATCTGTCCAGAAGAGACGAGCCAGGAGAAAGAGAAAGAGAGAGAGAGAGAGAGAGAGAGAGAGAGAGAAATGTTGCAGGTAGCTAAACTGGAAGGGCAGAGCCCTCTAAGACCTTTGGAAGTTAGGTATCAGATGTTAGGGCTGGAAAGATGGTCCAGCAGTTTATAGTGCTTGCTGCTCTTCCAGAGGACCCTGGTTCAATTCCCAGCTCCCACATGGTGGCTCACAACTATTAACTTCAGTTCCAGGGAATCTGAAACCCTGTTTTGACCTCTGTTGGCACCAGGCATGCACATGGTACACATACAAATATTCAGGCAAAATACTCTTACACATAAAATAAAAATAAAATAAATGAAATAAAATTATTTTTTTTTGGTTTTTGTTTTATTTTGTTTTGTTTTTCTTTGGTTTTTCAAGACCGGGTTTCTCTGTAGCTTTGGATTCTGTCCTGGAACTAGCTCTTGTAGACCAGCCTGGCCTTGAACACTCAGAGATCCACCTGCCTCTGCTTCCCGAGTGCTCGGATTAAAGGTGTGCACCACTGCCCAGCTAAAAAAAATTTGAAGGAAAAAAAAACTTCAGACATCAAACATGGAGCTATAATACTCGGAGTTTGCCTTGCTGGCTTTCAGTCTTGCTTTGGTCCAGTATTTCCTCATTATGCTTCCTTTCCTCTATGAAATGGTAATGTGTATCCTATGCCATTGTATGTTGGAAGTATGTGGTTTTCTTTTTTATTTTACAAGGGGTTTCAGTTAAGAGATTGTCTTGGATCTAAAAAAATACTTTGGTCATTCTTGGTTTTGGTTTTTCCAGACAGGGTTTCTCTGTAACAGTCCCAGTTCTCCTGGAATTCACTCTGTAGACTTGACTGGCCTTAAATTCAGAGATCCGACTGTCTCTGCCTTTCAAGTGCGGGAATTAAAGGCAAGGGCCACCACTACCTGGCCCTTTTTTTTTTTTCTTTTTAAATCTATTTATTATGTATATGTTTCTCCTGCATGTACACCTCCATGCCAGAAGAGGGCACTAGATCTCATTACAGATGGCTGTGAGCCACCAA